GGGCTGAACGTCAGGGCATTCTGTGATACAGGCACAGTCTTTAAAAAAGTGAGTAGAGGCTTTTGCTTAAGGCCAGAGCTTGGCTGGAGAAAGAGGGTGTCTGGTGACCCCTTGGTCTCAAGAGCTTTCCAAACAGGGAGAACCTCTTTGATCCACCCTCTGTGGAACCCCAAATAATGAGATAGGCTGCATGTGGCATTAACATTTATGTTACACACGGCATATCTATATTGCATATGTATGTATGCACTATATTTAATAGATATGTACATAAAAAGTGTCAGAATCTTTCACGCACAGACTCCTCCCTATGAGCCGATGTTTACCCCCTTAGGGACAATGCCATCGATGTTGAGAAGACATGGCCTGGAGAGGCCTGCCCAGGCTCCTGCTTTATAGATTAGGCCAGAGAAAGAAAGGACAGCGGAGCCTGAGAGCATGAAGGGCTGCCGGGTCAACTTGCCTTCCCACCTTGGAAGCTGGCACTGCCCCAGAGCACATCCACAGTGGAGGGTCAGTCTTGCTTGAAAACCCAGGCCACAGACACGAAGATCACTCAGGCCAGAGACAGAGCCAAAACTCAGGGCTCCCCAGACTTGGCCAGAGTTCCTCACTGGGGTCCATCCCATCTCTCTGTGGATTTCCTCCTAAGATACGTAAGCCTCCACCCTCCCACTTCTCTCTAAAAGGTGAAACAGGTTTGGAAAACCCAGATGTGGCTGAGAGAAGGCTCCCAGGGGCCCCAGGAGATGCACTTAACAAGCAAACGCAATGGAGTGAGACCCTTCTGTGGGCATTGGAGAAGTAGAGTCCATTGTATTTGGACTTGGGAACCTACTACTTAACCCCTCATGAAGGCACAAAAGCTTCATTCACTCTGAGCCTGGGAGACGTTTTCCCCAGGAACCATGCGCAGGCAGCTGGTTATCTCAGATGTGGAAGCAGATTCATCCCAAACCTTCTGCCTGCAAAGGAGGGGAGCTCTCAGCATGAAGGTTACTTGGATTGACCTGGCTGCAGACCCCACTTCCCCTAATGACCTTTCCAGCTGGATCCTTAAGTGGTTAGAGCAGGCTCCTTGCAGGAAATGTGTGGTGTGTTGAAAGCCAAGGTTCTTGCTAGTGTTCATGCTTACATATCGTCTTTATGAGGTTGGTGCTCCTTTAAAGGGACATGTGAGCCATTCCTTGTGGGCAGCTCTGTTTATGGACATACGATTTGCTCTGTGTTAGCCATGCATGAATCACGGGCATTACTACAGTCTGGAAGACCACAGAACTTTACAAGAGGTGCCTTCCATCAGCTTTCTCAAGTGTCTTTTCTGAACTTGCTCATCTGACCTCACCTCAGGCTTATGCTTTTCATTAGGAATGGTGTATTACTAGTGGGTTTCAAAACTTAAAACAATTCTAACCATATGCAGCCATATACATTTGGGGGATCAGTGCATGTTAGTATCAAGATGAATAATAATATTACTTAGTGTACCATATCTATGCTAAGCCTTCCATGGACTAAGTCATTTAATCCTCATAACTTCAATAGAATGTATATATTACTAATTCCCTCCTATTACAGAAGATAAAGCGGAGGCTCAGAGAAGTAACTTGCTCAAGAGTGTACAGCCACTGAACGGGAGGGCCAGGACTCAAATCCAGATCGCTCCAATGCAGAGCCCAAGCTCTTAACTGCTGCCTGATACCACTAGCTCTGAGAACCTAGGGGAGTTCCCACCTATCTGTTCTCTCTGAGGCACGTACACCCCCAGTATGTCTGCTTGCCAGGAATGCAGCGTGGGGTCACCAAGGCAGCCCTGCCCTAATAGCAGATGATCTGGGCGTGAGTAGCAACACACCTGCCCTGCCCGCCTCAAGTTTATGATAAAGATGGAATGCTACATGGTGTATGACTAAGGTCTTCGATTTCCAGGCTCTTCACATCTCTTAACATTGTAGGTTAGGATGGCTTTACTTGTCTCTACATGTCTATATACAACACACACAATACCACATACATGTATATCCATGTTGGTAGGCGGCTCACAGTCGGACTAGCCATTTTTAGGATTGGAATTTCTGAACTGAAGGGGGCCTACGAGATCCTCTGCACTTTACAACCGAGGTCAATGAGGTTTGGTAAGAGATTTCTTTGTACTTCCCCCAGAACCAGCAGAATGACACTGAGGCTTAGAGACTCATGACTCATGGGTAGGCAGGGACCAAAAGAGTTGGAACATTTAAATGTAATATTGGAAAGCTTGGGTCACGTGATAGGAAAAACCCAGTCCGGGTGGGAAAGAAGCAGACTGGAACCAGAGAGACCATCAAGACGCTGGGGGAAGCAGGGAAGGTTCAGGTGGCTGGACAGTGCTATCTGTGAGGGAGGGTATTCAGGAAGCTTCACACCTGAGCTGACCTGACACTTTTTCCTTCATTTTTCATTCCTGTTGAGTGTTCTGTGGATGCCTACCTGTGGGTAATTGGGTTTTACTATATTTGAGGAGGCGGGCCTGCGCATATATATTTGACATTTTACCAGGAGGCTGCACTTTAGAGTGTACTGGATGGAGGGTAACCCCAAGAAGAAGCCAGCTCCCAAGACTAGGAAGTGGCTGGGCAGGGAGCCTGCACTGAGTCCACCAGCCTCAGGTGAAAAGGCCAACGTAAAGGGTTTGACTCTCAAAGGGGTCAGGGGCCAGGTGGCCTTTACAGAAGTGACCCCTCTTATCCATGGATGCTTCTCTTACCCGTGAGGCCCCCAGACTTGAGTCTACCCAGTATTCTTTCTTTGGAGGTCTGGTTGACCCCACACCCATCTTTTCTCCCTTCCTTGCAAATGCCTGGTTGCAGACCGAACTAGATGAGAGAGGACCAACAAAGAATCCAGGCCCACAGCTGACAAAACAACCCACAGCACACGTCCTATGCCCAGATGGGGACCCGGGGTCAACTGTGTCATGTGTCCTTATGGCAGAGAGCATGTTATTATGCTAATTACAGTGTGCTGGGCTTCACTGGGAACCAAAAATAGATATATGTGGCTTCTAGGGACAGGCACCAACATTCCTTTGGCTTTCTTTGCTGTGTGATTTATTTTTTTTTTTTGAGAAATCTTTGACTTGATTAGAAAAAAGATGGGGGCTGCCAAAATGGGTGGGGGCATTTTTGGAAGGGCAGTTGCATTTGACCTGTGCTGCTGGCACAGTTGCCCTGTTCACGGTGCTGTTCCCCACGGTCATGTGGGATTGCAAAAGAAACAAAATAGGCAGCCCCACTCCGTGTCCTCTATGGCACTTCGATTTCCAGGCTCTTCACATCTCTTAATGAGGCGCCGCACACCACAGCCCAGCCTGGGTGGGCCCGCGAGAGCTTTTCCCCGGAGAAGAAATTGGAGAGCGGTTTAGGCTGAGTCTGCACCAGGATGAGAGGAGGAATTAGCATTTATTGAGCTCCCGCTGTGTGCTCCCCTGTGCCGGGCGCTTTTGCTGATCACCGCAAAAATCTTGAAAGTAAATGAAGAATTGGAGGCTCCGGATAAAGAAGCCAGGGATGGAGCTGGCATCCGGGGCCAAGTCTATTCATTCCAAGCCCAGCTCTTCCCGTGTTACATCGGGATACAATTAATCCACGGTAGGAAGGACAAGCCTCTCAGAGCCCTCACTGCCTGTGCAATATCTCCCGGGAGAGCGGCGGTGACATGGGAAAGGATAGGAAACGCTCTTATTATTTCTGTTCTCCAATAGGCACAAGAAATTGGTGTTTACGAACCCCAATGCTTTGCTGGCCTGGTAGGGTGTGTAAATGCGAGTGCAGCTGTGGTGGATAGGGAGCTGGCGAGGCGAGGGAAGGAGGTTAGGAGGAGTGCGATAATGGCACCGGGGAGTGCACGTCGCATTGAAAAGCATCAGTATTCACATCTGTAATAACATTGTTGGCCAAACCTTGGTCCATGTCAGACCAAGGCTACGATTTTAGGACTGCTCATTCAGATGTCTGGTCAGTATTCCTCTCCCTGCATTCTCATCCATGCTCAAGTGTGTGTGCTAGACAGGAGTCACAGCATCATGC